TAGAGAGAGAGGGAGAAAAAAGATCATTTCTTTAGAAGTTAGAGTTAGAATTCCATTGTTTCATCTTTCTAGAAAAAAAAACAGTGAAGGTGGTTTGCAAACTTTCTTAAACTTTCAATCATGACATTTAAAAATACTCATCTAAATATCAAAGGGGGAGGGGGAGAGAGAAGGGGGAAGGGGAGGATTGGGGAAAGCTTGGGGGAGTGGGATGGTTGAGATGGAGGAAGGACGGATATGCGAGCAGGGAAGTAGACATCTTAATTAAGGGAGGCACTGTGGGGTTGGCAAGAGGCTTGACTCTAGAGGGGGCCCCAGATGTCCACAGGGATGTCCCCAGCTAGGACCCTGGGCAGTGGAGGAGAGGGAGCCTGAACTGGCTTTGTCCTGTAGTCAGACTGATGAATATCTTGCATATCACCATAGAACCTTCATCTGGAGATGGATGGACACAGAGACAGAGACCCACACTGGAGCACTGGACTGAGCTCCCAATGTCCCAAGGAGGAGCAGAAGGAGGGAGAACATGAGCAAGGAAGTCAGGACTGAGAGGGGTGCACCCACCCACTGAGACGGTGGGGCTGATCTATTGGGAGCTCACCAAGGCCAGCTGGACTGGGACTGATGGAGCATGTGATCAAACCGGACTCTCTGAACGTGGCTGAAAATGAGTACTGACTGAGAAGCCAAGGACAATGGCACTGGGTTTTGATTCTACTGCATGGACAGGCTTTGTGGGAGCCTAGTCTGTTTGGATGCTCACCTTCCTGGACCTGGATGGACGGGGGAGGACCTTGGACTTCCCCTAGGGCAGGGAACCCTGACTGCTCTTTGGACTGGAGAGGGAGGGGAAGTGGGGGAATGGGAGGAGAGGGAAGGAAATGGGAGGAGGAGAGAAGGTGGAAATTTTGAATGGCATTATTTATAAACCAAAAAACAAAATGTTTGAATTTTTAACAATAACAACAACAACAATAACAACAACAACAAAACCCAGAAATACAGGCTGGCCATATTCAGTCTTTCTTTAGTACTCAGTGTAAACGTCTCATGAATGTTCTTGTGCCTCTCTTTTTACTTCTAATGGTCCCCACTTCCTTTGTCATTTCCTCAGAACCTGGTTTTGGAAACCTCCACTTAACTTTCCCCCATATTGTACCTTAACAGATACTCTAATAAGACACACTCATTTTTGATGATCCATCTAACCTTGTTTTCTTTATATTTAAGGTTTCATTAACACCAACTTACTAAATTATAATTATGAATTGTAGTTTCTTGCCTCAGTTCCCTATGCTCCATTCCAGTTACTGAACTTCTGCTGATGTCTACCAGAAATCAATAAAATGTAAAAACTGTTACTGCTCATATGAAATGTTTTATGTAACACCATATTATGTACAATGACTATAGATAATAAAATTAAAAATTATAGAACTACATGAAGACAAATATATGAAACCACATGACAAGAAAAATGAATATCTATATCCCTAAGTTCTCACACACTTAGACATTTCAAACTGTATGAGCAGACTTTAATGATTTAAAAACACAAATAAAACAAACAAAAATCCTATGAGGTGAAGCATCTGTCTTGCCCATCCTTCACCTGTTTATTCCTTAGCCCCAAGTCTGTAACTAATATTATGTTTACTTTTTTAGGTGATGGGAATTTTTGTTCTTTTTAATTAATTTATTTCTATTTTTTTTTTGTGCACGGTGTTTTACCATGGGTATTACAGACAGTTGTGGTCTGCCATGTGGTTTCTGGGAGGTGAACATGGGTCTTCTGGACGAACAGTCAGTGTGCTTATCCCATAAACCATTTCTCCATCCCATGGGATGTGTGTATATATACTCCACATGCATGCACATATACTTACACACACACACACATACACACACACACACATTTCCCCTCTCTTCTCTCCTCTCAGTCTCTCATCCCACACCTCCCCTCTGCCACACCCCATCCACTCCTCCTCTGTTTCTACTCAGAAAAGGAACGCCTTCCAAGGATATCAACAAAACATGACATATCAAGTTGTAAGACCAAGCACCTTGCCTTGTAATAAAACTAGGCAAATCAAGTTGATTTGCTTTTTTTTGTTTTTAACATAATCAATTGTGAATATTTGTTTCCCACATAAAGATGAACCCTTTTAACCCTTTCTGTTTTACAGAAAAAGTTTCATATAACATCATTGCATTGGATTCTGCCAAAATTTGGGTTTAACTTATAAGAGAAGGAGAAGTACAATGTTATAGGTTTTGCAAAGTATCACACATGAACAGGCAGACAGGAAATGACTGAACTTACAGGTAAGTGCAAGCTACTGGACACAGCTAACTTACATTTCTTTGGAAAGATTATTTGTAATTATCAGTTTTCTACAAAGTAAAAATTTACTTCTGCTGGGATTTGATCTGACTTGGGCTTGCACTAATCTTGTGCATTCTGCCACAACACTGGAAGGTCATGTGTGCAGTTTCCTCATTGTGCACGGAACGCACTGTTTCCTTGTGGTCGTCCACTCTCAATTCTTTCCACACTGTATTTCCAATGATCTCAGCCTTGGCACCATATATATGTTTCACTTTATGTAGGTGGTGATTAACACTAAGACTTAGAACTGCAGAGTATAAGAGACTGCATAATATACTCAAGAACTTTTAAAGGGAAGGAGACACTGGAATAAGCCTTATCAGTTATACAAGAACAAATAAAACATTTTCTGCCTGGGTATTTCTGGAATCACAACAGAGATGCCAGTGAAGGCTGTAGTAGGAGGGGATGGGGTAAATGAAGAGATCAAGTGATGAGAAGCAGATGGACCCCGAACTAGAGATGAGTATGGGTCTTATTTCCCTGCCCCTCCACTAAAGCATGGGCCCCAAATCTACTCTGGGCTAAGAAGCAATGAGAGAGGACAAGGAATGACTTCTCCAACTCCCACACCAACTGATGAAGAAAAGGGAATGAGCAGGACACTTAGGAGCTGTCAACAGGCTGTCACATGGCCAATGGACAACTATAGAGGTAGGAGTTCATGTTTGAGACATTGTCAATAGGCAGCTACTCTATGAACATGAAAAAACTGGTCCTTCTACCCAACCCTTCAGTTCCAAATAAAGTACTTACCATGAATAGAATAAACAATAAATCTTTTTATCACAAGTATTTTTCTTGGAGGGAGAGTCCATTGGTAGCTAATTTTCAGTTTTTCAAAATAGTCAACATATCTATTCTGCAAAGCAACAGAAGGCTCAATTTAGATGAAAATAAAAAGCCAAAAGTCAGTGTGATTAATCCTGCCTCCTTTTGTCTTCCTCCCCATTTCCCCCTTTTTACAAAGAATTTGTCAGGAACAGTTTAGGTGAGGAAACAATTGCAGGAGGGTATTGTGTAGTTGCGTGTATTTCATACATGTTGTCTCATGATTGAATATCTAAAGTACTAAGTTTGGTGATGTGGTGAATGGACATGACAGGAGTCAGTCCTTGCAAGTGATCTGCCATGTTGTTGTTTTTTTCACATGTGTGTGTATGTGTGTGTGTGTGTGTGTGTGTGTGTGTGTGTGTATGTTTTGTGCAGAGGCCAGAGGTTGGTGCTAGTTATTTCCTTGGATCATCATCATATTATTATCATTTTCATCATCTTTGAGATAAGACCTTGGTACCTCAGTGTGTAGACCTGGTTGGCCTTGACTTTGCTATGTAGGCCAAGATGGTTTAGAATTCCCATAAATTTATCTTATTTTTCTGACACAAGCTGTCTCAGTAAACTTGGAAGTTTATCTATTTAGGTAGACTGACTAGGCAGTGAGCTCTGTAGAGTTACCAGTCTCTACCTTTCTTCCTTGCCAAGTGCAGAGATTTCAGACTTGTAGCACCAGACCCTCACATGAGTGCAAGATATCTGAATTTAGGACCGTATGCTTGAGTGACAGGCACTTTACTGAATGGACCACCTCCCAAGTCCAAGCTCATGCTTGAGAAGGTGGCTTCTCAGATAAAAAAAAAAAAAAAAAACAAAAAAAAAACAACAACTCAAAACAGTCCCAACATTTCAATATGGTAGTTGAAAATTAGTTATAATCACTACATTGGAGAAAAATGTGATTTCGTGGAGAGTGGTCCTTATTCATAGCAGAACAGCATACGAGGAGACTCCAGAAGCCATTCATATGTCAGTAGATCACATGCCACCCTTCTTCATCTCTCCACTCTACAGCTGGAAAGCATCTCCACCTTTCCTTTCCTTATCATCCTTGGGAGAATTCCTTGGGAATTGCTAGCCCTTTACTTTCCTTATGGGATGTTCCTCTGGTGTTGAGCCAACTGGAAAGTGCCAACAAAATTAAAACCCATGCTTTCTACTAGAAATGGAAGTCTGGGATCATTGAGATGTCTTAGTAGGTAAAAGCACTTGCTATGCATACATGCAGAACTGATCTTAAATCTCAAAAAATCATGGAAAAGAAATCCAGGCATGGCTGTGCATTCCTGTAAACCTGGCATTGTATTGTGGACGATGAATCCCTGGTGCTCCCTCAATAGCCATCCTAGTCTAAACATCAATGAGATTGATTGAGGTTCAGTGAGAGGCCCATCTCAAGACACTATGGTGGAGAACAATAGAGGAAGATGCCCAATGTTTTTCTCTGGCCTTACACACACAGCATCTGAACCTACATACTCACACACACACACACACACACACACATACACACACACAAAGAAATGGAAGCCATGTGTCTTTCTGAGTCTGTCATGTTTTCTCTTTATACAGAACCTAATTAAAAATATATTGATGTGTATGTGCATGTGTGTATTTATAAGCTTTTATATGTTTGTCATAGCTCATTGTTGAAATACGAGCGGTGGGGCTGCGTCCCCAGCACCCCAGCCACCTGCTAGCTTATGCCTGAAATAACAACATACAAACTGTATTCATTTAAAGACTGCTTGGCCCATTTCTATCTAGCCTCTTCTAGGCTAATTCTCGCACCTGGACTAGCCCATTTCTAATAATGTGTTTAAGCACCCCAAAGTGTGCTTACCAGGAAGATTCTAGCCTATGTCCATCCTGGGTCTGAGCTGCATGGGAGAGCAGAGCCTGGCGTCTCTGCTCCAGAGAGCAGAGCTGTGTCGTGTCTCTCCGGGAGCAGAGCAGAGTCTGACCTCACTTCCTCTTCCTCCCAGCATTCTCTTCTGTTTACTCCTCCCACCTATGTTCTAACCAATAAAATGGGCCAAGCCAGTTTCTTTATTAGCCAATGACGTTCCTCCATCAGCTCATGATACTACAAAGGGCATCATGGGAGTGAAGGAAGAGATTGTAAAGAAATGGGCACACAAAGAGAATAATGAAATACATATAATAAGAACTACTATATGTATCAATAATTAATAAGAATTATTATATATATTACATATAATAATGAGGAGTAGAAGGGGTTACTAACTCAGGGGATGACAGAAAAGAGCCAGAGGGTGGACAGTGGGTATAAGGGCAGTAAGTGAATGGGAACAAAACATGACACATGTATGAAGCCATAATGATGAAATCAGTTACTTTGTGTGCTAACCTAAACTATTAAGTTTTAAAAAAGAAATGATAGTGACAAGAAAGATTTCTACAAGTCCTTAACTCTTTCTAAGTGTTGCTTATAGTGGTTAAAGAATAAAGAAACTGCTTTGGCCTGATAGGGGCAGAACTTAGGTAGGCGGGGAAGATGGAACTAAATTCTGGGAGGAAGAAAGCAGAGTCAGAGGAACGCCATGGGACATGCTGAATCTTTCCTGGTCAGCCACTGCTACGTGGTGATATATAGATTAATAAAATTAGTTAAATCAAGACGTGAGAGTTAGCCAATAAAAGGATGGAACTAATGGGCCAAGCAGTAATTTAATTAATACAATTTCTGTGTAGTTATTTTGGGGCTAAGCTAGCCTGGTGGCCAGGATAAACAAGCAGGCCCTCTCTCCTTGCAACAGTCATGTAGCCAGTAGAGTGGTCCACAAGTCATAGAACGTGATGGTGTATCAGTACTACTACCCAACTGTTTCTTAAAGAATAAAAAAAATAGCATATACTTTACAATGGTTAGTTTATATAATTAAGTGTGACATTTAGATACACAAACAAATATATATGACATACAATCTTATCTGATATGTAATAAATATATTCTGAGATAAGGTTTTATGTAGGCTCACCTCAAAAGTGCAATCTTCCTGCTTCACTCTAAGATTACAGGCATGAGCCACCATGGCTGACTCAGAGTAATGTTTCTAAAGTACTTATTTCTTCTTTTCATTCTGTTTGCTGTGTTGTTTTTTTGAGATGGGGATTTGCTGTGTAGCTATGACTATCCTGGAACTCACTATGTAGACCAGGAAGGCCTCAAAGTCAAAGACCGGCATGCTTTTGCCTCCCAAGTGTTAGAATTAAAGACATGTGCCACCACTGCCTGGCTCTATCTTTCTTAAAATACAGTGTTTCCTCTCTCTCTGCCTCCTACCCCCTTACAATACATATTCACAGACACACACACACACACACACAGACACACACAGACACAGGCACACACAGAGAGACACACAGGCACACACAGACACACACAGGCACACACAGACACACACTGACACTCACACGAATCATACAAAAACAGTTCCTGTGATGTTCCTTAGGGATAGATTTATTCATGTGTCTGAATATGTGTCAGGAAATTGAGTGGTAGATTTTATATGATGGTTATAGGCCAGAACCCTCCTACCCTGGAAGGGCAAATCAATTCCTTAACTCTGAGAAATTAAGAAACATAAAATGTAAAGTAGAACATTCTGAGTAGAGCACAGATCTGGTATCTGAGGTGGGGCTCTCAGCCTGACCCAGGGCACCTGAGCACTGTCAACAACTGCTCATCAGACTTGGAGGGTGGGACATGAAGCTAATGACAAGTGTTGAGGCCTCTTGCCCTCCCGTGGAACTCCAAAAACAGAGATTTTACCTGAGAAGGGGTCTCTATTCCTTGAAACTTAGAGCTGGTGGTTTTATCTGTTCGCCGCTCCCCGAAAAAGTAAAGACTTTCCTGCAGGAAAGGGGACGACACAGTGATGGTTTAGCTGCACTCTGTTTTCCTAATTCAGGAATTCCTGGAGTCTGACTTCCTTAAGCTGGCAGTCTCTGGGTAGAGGCTGTGCCAAAGAGCCCAGATAGCAAGCCACATCAGGGACATCTTCAGACTGAAGACTCATAAACACATGGAAAGGCTAGAACATCTGGTCCAACCCTTCTACCTTCCATTTTAGAAACAAGGAAATTGAGCCACACACCAGTCAGGGAAGCAGGTAGGTTAATTCAGGGTACCACTGAACCTGGAGCTCACTCATTCAACTAGATTGGCAAGCCAGCAAGCACTTCTGCAGACCCTCCTGTGCTGAAGTTACAGGAGCACACATACTCAGTGTGTGCATGGCTTTTCACATAGGTGCTAGGAATCTCGGCTCTGGTCTTCACCCACAGGTCCATCTCCCCACTCTCTCCAGTGGAGATGTCCAGTGACCACCTCTCTCTAGTTCCCTCCCCATCCATCATGGACTTATGGACAGGCACATGCTACCACGTTTTTATGTGGGTGCTAGGGTTCTGAACTCAGGTCCTTATGCTTGTACAACAGGCCCTTTACCAACTGAACCATCTCCTTAGCCCTTCATTAAGTTGATTTTATCATTCATTAATTATTGATTTGTAATTTAAAAAACACTGTCTCCGGACACCTTTTTTTTCCCTTTCACCTATTCCCTTGGCCCCCAGGCACTAAACCAACTGATATAGTCCTAGGGCAGGCATGGCATCACCCACAGCCTCCAGGGACTACAGAAAATTAGGATAAAACACTCATTTTCAAAACCTGTGTGTCGATTATAAAAACAGAAAGGGTGGTGGGATTCTGAAAGTTGATATGTTTATAAGTCAAAGATCCTCCTCTACAGACTACAGGAGAGATAAACAGAGCTTGTATGTGCTAAACTCCCAGCAAGCCCCTGAAGGCAAATGACAGAATTCCGTTTCAAAATGTGAAAACAGGACAAGCAAGATGGTTCAACAGGTAAAGGAGCTTGCTGCCAAAGCTGATGACTTGAGTTTGAAGTCCAGAACCCACACAGTGGAAAAAGAGAACCAACACACACACACACACACACACACACACACACACACACACACAAATAAATGTAAAAAGAAAAAAAATGTCTTTTTTAAGTATCTGGAAAAAGCACAACTTCTGTCCTCAGACATTGCTAGTGAGGTCAGATATCTCTCACACACGGACTTGGCCTAAGGAGAGATGTTTACTACAGTGTTGTGCTTTTCCAAAATTGTCTCTTTGACCTCAGCCTACTCCTGGCCCAGTGCAAGAGACAGGTCAATTACCAGTTAATAAACAAGGGAGCACTAAAGCCACATGTTTCTGAAAAACACCTCTCCAAAGAATCATCAGAACACAGTGATGCTCCAGAGTAAGTAGATTCAGGCCACAGCAGAGCGGATGCCTCTTCATACCTTTGCCTTTAAAACGACTTCACTGGCAATGAGGCAGGCACACACCATGGTTCCTGTTCTTCCTAGAAAGAAAGACGGCTATTTAAAGAATCATTGTTCACAGTAGTGCTCAACTTAAGAACGCATTCCATAGACCTGGGAAGATGGCTTAATTCTTGATAAGAAAAGACTCAGGGTTTGAATGCAGATCGCAGAAGCCATGTAAAAAGCTGCCATGTTAGTATCAACCTTGATGCCAGCACTGGGTGGAGTCAGCATTCAGTCTGTTGGCCAGTGCCAGAGTAGCCAAAACAGTTAGCTAGTGAGAGACCCTGTCTCAAAAATAAGGTGGAGGGCCAGCAAGATGGCTCAGTGGATAAAGGTGAAGAAGGACATTTAAAAGAAATCCCACACTATCTCAGAATTGAGAATAATAGAGGATTATTTATTTAGGGGTATATTCACAGATCACAATCCTGCAGCCAGAAAAGAGGCCTGACACACTCTTTACATTGGCATAAATAGTATAAGAGTCCATACCCAAGTGGGCGGTAACTTAAAGGCTACTGACGGTAGGAATTCCTAAAGCATAAAGGTGCTTGTTGGACAAGCTGACAACCTAAGTTCAATTCCCAGAACCACAGGGGAGAATAACGCCCCCAAATAATCCTCTGACTTCCACACATGCACCATACATGTACAAAGAGAGAGAGAAAGAGAGAGAGAGAGAGCGAGCATATATATTAATACAGAATACATTTTAAGAAGAAAGACAATTGAGAAAGAAACCACAAGGTCAATTTCTGACACTAAAGCAGAAATACCAAAAATGCATTTTGCATAAGTAAATGTGCTTGTCCCAAATATTGTAGTTTAGAAGTAGCCCAAATCACCACTCTGGAAGCACTTGGAACTCAGTGTCCGTACTGTGGACATGCTACATGGTTGCTGTGGACTTTTCTTCAGTCTCAATGCTGACATTGCTGTATGGTAAAGACAATCAACTCTGTTGGAAATCCAAGACTAAAGCACTGCTTACAGACCTGGCTTTTGTAATCGATAGAAACAAAACACCCACAATACCATCTAGCATTTGCAATGCCCATTATTCTTTCCATTTAAAAGTTCTTAATTAATTAAAAAAATTACCCGCAGACTCATGCAGTCCAGACTGCTCTCAAAGTCATTCCAGCTCTGATGCTGATGGCCCAGAATTTCCTTCCCAACATCCATCTGCGCATGTACATGCACACACACACATACACACACACAACACACACACAACACACACACAGACACACATACACACAACACACACAATACACACAACACACACAGACACACATACACACATACACACAACACACACATACATACACATACACACAACACACACATACACACACATGTACACACACACTCGCACACACACAGACACACACACATACACACACATACACACATACACACCACACACACATACACACATACACACATACACACAACACACACATGTACATACACACTTGTTGAAATTAGGAGCGGCGGGGCTGCGTCCCCAGCACCCCGGCCGCCTGCTAGCTCATGCCCGAAATAACAACACACAAACTGCATTCATTTAAACACCGCTTGGCCCATGAACTCTAGCCCTTACAGGCTAATTCGCGCACCTGGACTAGCCCATTTCTAATGATGTGTGTAAGCAACCCCAGGGTGTGCTTACCGGGAAGATTCTAGCCTCCATCCATCCTGGGTTGGAGCTGCCTGGGAGAGTGGAGCCTGGCGTCTCTGCTCCAGAGAGCAGAGCTGTCAGGTCTCTCCGGGAGCAGAGCAGAGTCTGACCTCACTTCCTCTTCCTCCCAGAATTCTATTCTGTTTTCTCCTCCCACCTATGCTTTAACCTATCAGGGCCAGCCAAGCAGTTTCTTTATTGCTCAGCCAATGAAATCAACAGCTTGATATGACACTCCCACATCACACACTCGCACACACATACACACACAGACACACACACATACACACACATACACACATACACACATACACACACATACACACACAACACACACGCACACACATACACACACTATTTTTTTGCACAAATGTCTCATTTTGTCTTGGAAGTTGAGATAAAGATTTGAGTCAGATACTCAGTTTTGCCCTCTTCAAGGCAGACTTTGCACAAACCTGCTTCCTTGTGCCAATTTCTGTACTTTGGGTCTTCAGTGGAATGGTAAATGGAAGGATCCTCGAAAACAGTAGCAGTATGGCAGAGTCATCAAAGAGACAGAACCTGACCCCAAGAGTCACTGCCGTCTCCTTCAGGGCTGGAGAGTGTCTTGTTAAACATCTCATTTTAATCATTAGCAGTGGTGTCGGCTCGACTGCTGCTAGCCGAGTTAATGGCCAGCGCTCAGGGACATCCGAGCAGTGGCTAGGTAATGCTTTCGTATACAGCAATGGTAGCGTTGATTGATTGCTTTGTTGTGTGAATAAAAAGGGGTTTGAGTTTGGGTTTTGGTGAAGATGAATTGGCTCCATGCTGGACCCAGTTATCTGGAAAAGTACTTTGGCTGGAGGTTATTAATTTGCTAAATGTTTTAGTTTTGGAGGAGCCTACAAGGGTTCAGCTCACTGATAGCCACCAATATTCACTGTCTCCACTGTTTAGGGCTAAGTGACTGCTTAGATCTCATCTCTCTGAGATCATCTTTTCTATACTGATTTGTGTGAGTTATCTCCACCAACTGGGAACTTGAGAAGGGCTTAGAGTCCTAGGAAATTTGTTCAGAGAGCACTTGGTTGATTTTGTGACAGCTGTGTATGTGGTGTGTGAGCAATGTCTATGTGGTATGTGTGTATGTGTTTGTGGTATTTGAGTGTGTGTATGTACGTATGTGGTGTGTAGGGTGTGTGTGTGAGTGTGTGTATGCTGTGTGTATGTGTGTTGTATGTGAGTGCTGTGTGTATATGTGTGCAGTATGTGTATGTGGTTTGTGTGAATATGTGCGTATGTATGTATGCAGTGTATATGTGAGTGTGTGGGGGTATGTGGGGTGGTGTGTGTGTATGAGATGTGTGGGTACTTGTGCATGTGGGGACAGAGGATCTCGTCCTCTATTGTTCTCTGCCTTATTATTTAAGATAAGGACTTAAAGGTGCTGAAGATCACTGATTTGCTATGCTAGCTCATTATCAAGTCGAGCACATCTGTCTGTCTAGCACATGCTGCCTACATGCACGCTGGCTTTTGAATATATTTCTAAGATCAAAATTCAGGTCATTGTGTTTACATGGAAAGTACTTCAATGACTGAGCTCTCTTCCCAGCTCATCTTTTTAAAAATTTATCAATTGATTTTACTTAACAGTAAGATAAAAATTCTGCTTTACAAGATGTCATTACAGAAAAGTATAGCCAATCAAAATACAGAATTGTGGAGACAAAAGGGTCCCATACCTAAGGCTCAGTGCACACTGTTGAAGAGGGGATAGGAAGATTGCAAGAACAAGAGGAACAGGGGTTTTGTATGGGAATGTCTCCTAGTGACATCAGAAGCTATACCCATAAAGTCTTGCCAACATGAGTACCCAAATGTGAGCTGAATGAAGGATACCAATGAACATGGCAAACTGGGTGAAAAAGCCCACAAGGCCTCAACCCTAAACAAAGCTCAGAGCAGAAGAGCAGGCTTTCCCTGGGCAGAACACACATACATGCAAGCAACATTATATGGACTCAACAGGTTATATTTGGGAACACATATGCACATACACATCTGCATGTCATAACAACTGATGAAAAAGAGGCCATGAGTTTAAAGTAGAGTAGGGAGGGGTAAATGTGAAGGTTTGTGGTAGGACAGGGAAAGAAGAAATAGAACTGAGATAAAATCTCAAAAAAAAAAAAAAAAAGGAAAACCCATGCAGCCCATGCTGCCCATTTGCCCTTGGAGGGGTGGCCTCCAGGAGGCATAAATGACCTCCACAGGACACAGGCTGATACTACATCTCCAAAGAGTTATCAATTGCCAATAGTTCCTTAGTTAATGTGGAACTTTGTACCCACCTCCTATCTCTGTTCTGGGATTTTGTCTATTTCCTTAGAGCTGTCCAGTGCCCTGACTCTTACAGTCTTTCCCTTCCCTCTTCTACACTGATCCCTGAGCCCTGGGATTCTCGATATTAACCACCATCTATAGCATAAGGAATCTTCTCCGATGATGGCTGAGAGATGCACTAAAATGGGTAAAACAATAAATCGTTAGGAGGCTGTTTGATACTGTTTAATACTGTGCTATTTAACAGCATATCCCTACTGCTAGTACTGACTTTTTGGAACCCATTCTCTTTGGACGGATACCTAGCTCAGCCTAGATGTGGTAAGGAGAGAGAGTGCCTTATTCTCTTTGAGGAGTGGAGGGGGTGGGAAAGGCCGAAGGAATAGGAGGGGAGGGAGTGGGAACTGGGATTGGCATGTAAAATGAAAGAAGGCGGCTTGTTTTCTTTTTTTTTTAATAAAATTAGAGAAGAGTACATCTTTTCTAAAATAAACCAGCAACATGGTTAGGAATCATGCCTGTGATCTCAGTATTTGGAAGGAAACAGGAGGATCATGAGTTGGAGGCCTGCCTGGAATACATAGGTAGTTCAAGGACTGGCTGGGTTGTGGACAAAGTTATACAAACTTTGTCTCAAGGAAAAGAAACAAACAAACAATTCCAAAGCAAGACACAAAAACCTTTCTAAACAAATAACAGCAATAATAATAAACCCAACACAAGGGAAGAGTTCAAAGGTATTTCCAAAAGAAAACATACATATAAAAATGCTCACCGTCACCAGTTGTCAGGGAAAAGCATGTTAATCACAATAAAATAAGTATGATAAAGTGATACATATGTTAATTAGTTGCATTCACTCCACAGTAAATATAACTACAAACATAAATGCATATCATAAATATATATATAATATGCCAGTTAAACAGAAAAATAGCCTTAAATAATGTGTTATTCTATTCTAAAGATAAAACATCATTGGTATTTTAACAGACTTACATTGTCAAGTTAAGGGTAAAATAATCCAAAGATTTAGTAAGCAGGGGAAAATATTCCCAACCTTCTTTAACTCTTTTCCTCTCCTTCCCCCTCGTCCTCTCTTCCCTTCCACCATCTCCTTCCCTTTCTTCTCGCATTCCGTCTGTTTTGAAGCCAGTATTTTAGTGTTAATGATTAATATGACTAACAACAGTAGTTCCCATGCACGTTTCTTTTCAAAAAAGGAAATGAAAGAGAGGCAGCGTTACCTTTTCCTCCCTTACAGTGAATGGCCACAACATTTTCAGGATGTTGAGCCAGCCAATCATTCACTTCCTTCGAGAACAACAGCATTTCCCTGAATTCAAAAATGAGATTTTTCATTCAATTAAAAATTTGCCAAATAAGAAGGTGAACCCAAGAAAAAACATATAGTTATCCTCTTGGCTAAGGGAAGTAGATAAAATTGCCGGGGAGAAAATTGGGATCTTGGGGGTGGGGTGGGTTGGGGAGAAGGGGGGAC